TTTCAGACATTCAGAATATTTGTAAAAAATGTGTATAAAAGATATTTCTTTGATAAAATATAATACCTATGCACCACCTACCTATTAATAGTCAAACCAATTTCGTGTTATATTTAAGTTTTAAAATGTGAATCGTGTCTTGGCTAAATATGTGAGTCGTGTCTTAACTATATAACATAACAAATTAAACTGTTAGAACCTTTATTATAACAGTTAACTGCACCGTTTATTGTTGTACCATGTATGTCTAGATGGAGCCACTGTACAGTTATAGACTTTCGATACACTTCGTCTACCCATGAGTTTTCCCACTCTAAAGAATGAATTCCTAACTCTGGGGTGTAATGTAACCTCCTGCCTATATGCGCTCTGCAGTAGTCGGGATACTATTTTAGAAGGGAACCAAGTCATGTCGCCATTAAATCAATGACATATGGATTTTAATTTTTTTAAACTACCTCCTTCAACTTGTAATGACTCTCTTGTGACAGTTTCTGAATAGTTTAATGTGAGTACCTGCCATTTGACCTACCTCACAGTGACTGAACCACAGGTGGAATAATGCTCATCAGCGCACCAGCAACGTAGTGTTGTACAAATTGGAGAGCGGCACACTCTTCCTTGATGAGGGTCGAAGCTACAACCACCGCGATGGTTCCAGGGGGCCATACCAACTGTCAGGCTGGAAAGGCGACAGATCCATGGTCAGCTTACAACCGCTGTACGAAAAACCTCCGATCAGGTTCCAGACCGAAGGGGGCCACTACGAACGTTGCGTCACGAATAAATTCGTACGTCAACCTCCCCTTGGTCACTGTTCGTCCACCTAGTCCTCCACCTATCAACAACACACTCCCGAAGGATAGTTCTGTACCGCCTAGTATCCCCATCCACCAGATAGAAGACTTGAGCCTATCATCCTCATCCAACTTCTAGTCACGCTTAAACTTATACATGATAGCCCTACATCTTACATCAAGATCAGGCGGCGCGGAAACGGTGCGACACACTGACAAACATGCTAACATGCAACCGTCTTCTCGGTTGCCACCTCCACTCCAATTCGATCACTCCAGGCCTGCACAACCTGCATAGCTTGCACACCATGATTTACAAGTTCAAGGTGACTTTCCCCTTGAATCATGATGAGAAAGTCATCCGCAAATTCCCAAACCTTGAAGGAGGCAGCTAGCTCCCGCAACAGAGAATGCATCATTATGTTCCATATACATGTACCACAAATGGAGCACTGTGGAACCAGGCTGCCCATCCCTCCATACCTAAGCTCCCATGAAACAAGCCTTCCTATCTCGGAATAATCTCCCTACACCCGACCTCTGACAACCTTGTGAGCACGCTATCCCATAAAAGGAAGTTAAATGCGCCTTTGAAATCCACAAATATGCCAGGGACATATTTGGAATTTGACCAGCTCAGGCTATCTTGCACATGCGTCCACAGTACCTCTACCCTGGGTAAAACCGAACTGATACAAGGACGTGCCTTCGCTGTAACATTCCCTAAGCCACTCTTGTGACAAGAGAAGACATCTCAGCAGTCTTTGAGGGATATAGAAATTTACGCCGAAGTCAGGAAATCATTTCAGCTAATATATGTATGGGACGACACTTCCCTGACGGAAGAGGAAATAATCAGATTATCAACCTCCAGTCAGCAGGGATCCTCTTATATTTCAAATAGAGATGCCAATGACGAAGAAGAAATGATAATGTGGAGAATGGAATCACGACTGGGATACATCTCCCATAAACTTCAGATACTGAAATTTGCTATTTCTTCTAGCCTTGAAGCTTCCAGAGGAACGAATATAGCCCTCATCTTGAGACATGTATCTATTCAATGCAATGTATACCACACTCCTAACGAGATATACCCCTGGAAAACCTTTCCAATGCGTTGAATACAGTCGACTCCGCTTTACTGAAATGGAAAAAATCTGGATGTTTGTTTCAGTTATCCGATGTTTTCACCTAAACGGAGTTCAGTTAACTGAAAATAATTTCAGTTATCCGAACTTCTCATAAGCGAAAAAATTTTCAGTTTTAGGAATTTCAATAATTCATATTATATATCGAATTTGTAGGTCTCGGATTTTTATTATGAACTGTCTTTTTCATGTGTAAGGTTGACTTTGCAAATGGTTTTAAAAGTTTGGCCGAACGAACTTAACGTTCTTCGACGTCAAAATTATATATACTTGACATAAATTATTGCAGATCTGTTAGGGTATGCTTTGAAGATGTGTATTCCTCAATACAAATATTCTGTTATTATACTTCATTCTCACGATTCACAGTAACACGGAGTGATTTGATATGAAATTGCAATATTTGACTCCAAAAGCTATTTCAGTTAGGCGAAGTTTCACTTATGCGGTGTAAATTGTGAGCGATTAACCAAAAATGTAATGGTGCAGGAAATCAATTTAACTTATCCGATTTTTTCACGGAACTTAAATACCTTAAACTGCAATAAAAAATATCGAACAAACAACTTATCAGCAATTACAAATACATTGCCCATTGTGATTCATAATTATTTGTAAACCGAATTATTCTAATTACGCCACCCACTGTAATCTTCAATGATGATTCCACATCACAAATCAATTTCCAACAACAACAACACAAAACAAATAATAAACACAACACAATTCAATTATTGAGCAGCAACAAGGTCTCCATGTTATGAAGCACATGGGGATTGATTGTTTTGTATTTCATTTGTTGCCTCGATGTCTGTCCAGTCCAGTCCACCGCATTGCATTACACACAATTTCTTACAATCTCTCTCTTTCTCGTCTCTTTGCAATTATTTTAGCTGGTGTTAAATTTTATTCTTCTTATCAACGCGTGCTGGCACAGAAAAACAATAATGTTCTACAAATGACCGGTGTTACAGTGGGCACTCTACATGCCTTAAAGCTCATCGACGGCTTATTACCAGTGTTACCGCTGGCAATTTTAAAAAAGTTGCACAAAAAGTCGTTCCCTTGAAAAAAGGTTGCACAGAAAAATAAATTTGTCAATAAAACTGGTCCGAGAATATGTTAGATACCCTTGGAACTCAAAAACGACGTAGAAAAATCTAAATTAGAAGAAAAGAAGAAAGAAGAAAAGTCGCACAGAGCTTAAAAAGATTCAAACACAGTTACATGACATCAAAAAGGTTGCAAATTGCTACTTTAGTCGCACAACTGTAACCCTGCTTATTACGTATGCCAACATCGGCTTGATTGTTATGGTCAAATGAAATTCCAATCAATTATAGATTTGATTTTTCCTACTTAGTGGCGGTTTGGTGTGGCGCACACATGTTTTACATGCTAATTTATTGCAACTATAAATAACTAATATTAAAATAGTAAGAGGAATACAACAGGGAGAAATGGCGTTAGCATGGATTGGGCGGGAGGTAAAATGTGTATTCCACAATCAAAAGTTCCATACATGAAGGTCGCTATTGTTTTGAAACTGCGAGATTAAAACTGAATAAAAAGTCCGGAGTCCATTACACATGGTTCGTTCAATTTTTTATTGACCATCTCTGTAGCAATTTTCAAAAAGTGTACCGTTTGTGAAGAAGATGCCAGAAGAATTAGGCCATTATTACCCATAATCGAACTAGATGCTTTGGATCAATATTTTCGGTGTGTAATGTTTGGATATAAAGTAGTTTTAATTTTGCTGCCTTATACATAGCTGCACTTTTGATTTAGATACCCAAAATACACTTCTTTGGTACTTTTTCTCAGGTTCCCTCTCAAATGTTTCGTTTAAGCGCGCAATTAAGATAACATCTCAGAAAAGTTGTACTTTTTTCCTCTCATTACTTAGAATTCTTGCATTTAGCTGCACAGGGAATATACAGCTAGTACCGCTGTGTATTTTTCTATTTTCTTTAACCTGGTTCTGCCTCTAACTCCAAGTTCAGGAAGACTGCGACCTGTATTGGTTGAGTCCAGGGAGAAGATGGGGTTAGGTGAGTGGGTTTGGTTGGGCAGTTGAATAGATGTAGCGTGTCATGCCGGGCAGATATTGTCGACCACTCCATCAATTCGTGCCCAATATAAATTAAGGCGGCTACACCATCCAGATCTTAGTTGTGCCAAGATCACTCTGGTTTGTCGAGGTATCTGCTGCTCTTCAGCAGCTATCATAGGCGGATGGTCTCCGAGGATGGTATTCACACGATATTCTTGAACTGCTTCCTCAACTGCATCCGTGTGAATACGATTCAATCCGATTCAAGGCTCCCTTTTGTACCTTTGGACCTCTCTCTCCAGATCATGGAGATCCTTCCTGACATGCCTAGGTGTGGGTGCCTATCCATTAGGTAACAGTTTGGATGGCTACTCCTATAACACCCAAGCAGATATTGCATCGACAACATCTTGTTGTGTTGACGCACAGGAAGGATATTCGTCTCCTCATGCAAGTGGTCTATTGCAGTCATGAGGAGACACCCTGTTGCAGTCCTCAGGGTGGCATTCAGGCAGGATTGAAGACGTTTCAAACTTGGCTGGAGGGTTGTACTGTCGACGTCCTCGAACAGCTTGGTGTGACTGACGGTATCAAATGCCACTGTTCTGGTTGTGTCCTTCTGCGATGTGCGTGGAAATGGCGTGCAAAGCTGTTGTTGTGCTATGCTGCTTCCGGAACCCATGTTGATGATCAGCAACTGAGTAGCATTCACGAATGCTAGGGAGTAGTAAAGCCTCAAGTGTATTGGCTACTGTCGACAAAAGTGAGATCGGCCTGTATGGCTCACCTCTGCTGGCCATCCTTGCCCGGCTTCAGTAGCGGGACCACCCTGCCCATTCCCAGGCATCGTGAACTACTAGGTTAGCTAACGACAAGTTGAGGACTTTCGTAAGATATTCTACTCCTGGCTCATCAAGCTGATTCAACATCACCTTGGAGATTCCATCTGGACCAAGCGCCATGGATGCTTTCGCGTTCCTAATGACACTTGCAACATCATCCAACGTGGTGGTTCCTCCTCCACTTGAAGAGAGATACGGCGCAATACTCTTCTCTTCGCCCGGTCACTCTCGGGGTGCTCTATAAACTGCCGGTTGAAATAACACTCAATCCACTACTTATGTTGCAACACTTCAGATGTTCCAGCCACTTTTTCCGCTTATGATCGCCGACTAACCTGTTCACCTCCAACGTCAGTTCGACGAAGTTCATCACGCTCAGTCGCTAGTCCCGCTGCCTCTGCTGGGAAGTTTGGTCTTAGTTCGGGTATACGACCCGCAGGTATATAGCGAGCGGCTGCAGCAGTGATGATGTCCCGGAAATTCCTTTCTGCCACCCGAGCATCAGAAGGGTTGGGCAGTTCTCTGAAGCGGCGATTGATGAAATTTCTGAACTCTTGCCAATACGGCGTTCAGAAGTTATGAAGTTGGGTGGTCTGTTGATGGATATGATAGTAGGAAATTGGTCTGGCCCCAATGATATGACGGGTTGCCAAGCCACGTCATTCGCCAGACCCGGAGACACGATGGAGATATCCGGTGAGCTTTGGCAGTCTCCCCTTATCCTTGTGGGTATGTCCTCATTCACCGTGTAAAACGTTGAGCTATCAATTTGCTCGGTCAGCGCAATGCCCCTCTGGTCATTACCTAGGACGGAATGCCATAACTCATGATGTGCATTGAAATCCCCTAGCACCAGACGGTTATTGCCTTCAACAGATGACTAATGTCAGGCAAATAACGCGGGGCACAGCTATTTAACGGCGGAATCTAAACTTTAAGCACCTCTACCTCGACGGTATCACACTTGATCGCTACACCCATATATTCCATGTATGGGTCACTAGAGTCTAGCTCAAACGAGGTAGGTCTATACTGGACAGAATGTTGCAATAGGAATGCTAAGACTGCAGGTGTTGTTCAGCTTCGTTTCCTGCATCGCAGCGACCATAATACTCCTTCGACTCATAAAATCCACTATCTCATTGATTTTCCCTCGAAGTCCATCGCAGTTGAATTGGAGAAAAGATACGTTATCGGGAGTTGCGACAGCAATGTACGGTGTTAGTGGCTGCGGCGCAGGTTGCTGCTGCGGAGATTGCGGGGGAGTCACGTAATCCGAAGAAGACGACGATGCCGTGTATCACTGTGATGAAGACGACTCGCTGGGGACTGCATTGGCGCGGCATGAAGCAACGTAGTTCCTTTCGTTGTACTCCTGTATCCGGCTAAAGCCGGAACAACTCCTGAAATGGATGATGTTGTGACAAACTGAGCAGTACCATGGTTCGGGGTTTGTCTTAATCCCGGCACGGACCAAAAGAATCAGAAGCAAACATTCCGGGTAATGAAGCTCCCAAATTGAAAAAATACTCGAACATGTACTTGCTGGTTTGACAGCCCTTGGTCGGAAGTTGATTCCTCCGAGTCAATCCGGTGCATAGAACCGGCCGTCGTGCGATTGTTCTCGTGGTAGTTTCCTTTGATTAGGGATTGACTTTATTTTCTCTGTGTCAGATGACTTTAAATTTATTCAATCTTCTAGAGATCTATTCCTCTTCAACGCTTGTCAAGGAATGCATGTCAAGTCGAGCTTGTCCTTATAGTTATTCGTCTGCTGTGCGCCAGTCAGTTTTCGTTCAGTTAAATATTTCAATTTAGTCGTAACATTGACAATATACTTGCTCACTTCATCCATCATCTTGTCTGCCTCTTCGCTACATCGATACTCCAAGTAGGTTTGGTCGAAATTGGATTGCTCTGCCCCGGTAGTTATTAAACTCTTCTCTTCTTGCCTCTTGACAGCTCTCTTCTTCGTTGCGGTGGTACTCTCGACTATAGACACCAAGATACCCACATATGTACGATATATTTTCTCACGATCGAAAGATGATGTCGAAGTGTAACTCATTATAACGATATTATTTATTCCATATTAGGACTTCAGAAAGTAATTTTTATTTTGTTTATTTTATACGCTAATCAGCCTCTTGAAACGCATACTAAATAATAAGCTATTTCAAGTTCAAACCCAATAATAATAATAATAACAATAATAATGAAAAAAGCCAATGCCTTTTTAAATTGTAACAAAACACGGCGATAACACCCTGCAAATAGGGCTTTCATTATATTTTTACACTGAAATTTGCTGAAATATTTTTAAACCCCAAAAAGGAGGAAAGGCATGTAGAAAATAGTTTAGTTTTCAAATAAATCGTGACAAAAACTAAATTTTATTTGTGAATAATGAAAAATGTGACCGACCGCATGTGCTAGACGAAATGATCGGTAGGTTGGTCGATTGGGTGGTTGGACGGATGGATGGTACGTAAGCATTGACACATGAACGTAAGATTTTGGTTTCATTCTTTTGTTTGGTCTCGACATCGGTGTTGTTTTTGTAGTTGTTGTTGATGGTTGGGTATATTGAGGGTGTTGACGCTTGACGCATTCTTTTCTGCAGCTGCCGCTGCAGTTAATGAGTCATTTGTTTTTATTTCGTCAAAAGCCAAATTCAATGTAATGGATATGAGTTTAAAATTTAAAGGGTTATCATGTGGGGTATTAAGAAATTTGCCACCTATGAGAACCCAAAATACCAAATTACAGCCAATACGGTTGAAAAGCTGGGTCGAACCCCCAAAATGCAGCAATTAGGGAGTGAACAAAAAGTAAACCAATATTCGTAATTTTTGGTAAGGAGATTGGCTATCCTATGAAAACCCAAAATACCAAATTACTGTCAAATTCTGCTGGAAAACGCGTCTAAATGACCGAAATATGGAAGGCATCTTCCTTATACCCGAAGTTATAACTTTTTACTGCGAATATTAGCTACCCAATAAGAATCTAACAAAAAAAATGACAGGAAAGTTATTGAACGAATAGACTGAGAATCTGTATATTTGGTACGCGGATCTACCCTGCTGTGAAAATGTATGATAAAAACATCATGATAACTATTGAATGTATCATAGCTATAATAGATCTCCTAGATGTAGAAAAGAAGGGCTTCTAGCAAAATAAGTCATTATTAATGCCTCAAAGCGATAGACTGCCTGCTAGAATACCTCTGTAGAATATGTCGTGACCAAAGATAGCTTATAGAAGCAACAAATTAAGAAATTGTTCTAGCAATAAAATGTATCCGAGAAAAGCAGGTCTCGGAGAGGTATTCTAGCAATAAAACACTTCTACAAGGTTCCCCACCAATTGCAAGTTACCGTAGCAAATATAATGTCCCCAGCGGAGAGGGTTCCTAGAATGTCTTCCCGAAGGTCTCCTAAAAGGTCCTTTACATTGAATCGGATTTGGTTAACCCAGGGGGTTTAAATTTTCAATTCCTTTAAATAAATCCTCATAAAGTAGGTTAACCCGGTAAAAAGTTGTAATGTAAATGCCGTATAAGAAAATAAGGCCTCTGGAGGTTCCCCTGGAAATCGAAGACTTATCTATGGCCTCCTAGCAATAAATTGAGATCTACCAATAATCTTCCTTTCTTGTTTAAGGGCAAAATTAAATGTATCCTATAAATAGAAAAGAGATAATTGAAAAACTCCCCTAGCAATAGAATGTACCCAGTAAAGTAGATATTTCTGAAACAAGACCTCTGTACATTTCCCTAGAAATCCACCGTCGCTGCTTTGCTTCCTTGCAATAAAATTTTCCTTTATAAGGAAACCTTGCAATTGAAAGCTTCTGGAAGCACTCTTAGTAAATAGAATGTATCCTAACAAAGAAAACCCCTGGAGGGTGTTTTAGAAAATGAAAATAAGACCATTGGAATGTGTCCATAAAATTGACAACCACAGAATGGCCTCCTTGTAATAATTTGGCCTCTAGAAGGTATCCTACCAATTGAAAAACTTTCGAATTTCTCCTAACGAAATTCCTCTAGGCAATAAACCGGCATTAGGAAGGTTTTTCATCAATAGGACAATATAAAATCCTTAGAAGGGCCACAGAATCAATAAAATGGGCTCGAGAAGCTATCCATCAATTAAAAGTCCCTGGAAGTTATCCAGTAATACAGTGTCTATTAATATAGGAGGTTTCTAAAATGTCTCCTTGGAAAAGAAAACGTCCGGAAGAGTCTCCTTGTAATAGTTAATGACTATTAGTATAGGGACCCTAAATGGTCTCCGAACAATAGAGATTCGCGCCAATAAAAATCATCAAAAAGAGCAAAAGAAGGTCACTTAAAGATCTTCTAGAAATCGAAAGCTTTAAAATAAGAAAGTTTTTTCTAACGAAGAATTTCCCTAGGATACCACTATAAGTTCCACTTTAAATAGGTGTCCCCAAAAAGTATAAGAACAATAAAAAAGTCTATACAAGGTATCGTAAATGAATGGTATCTTAACAATAGAAGCCAGGAAGAATAAGTAAGTGTATAGAAGACGGGAGATCAAGAAGGAGACCAAGAGGCGTCCTTTGTAATTTCTTCCACCACCACTCTCGTTGCATCCGAAAAAATTTCAGCATGAACCCGAAATAAATCGACAACCGAAAATCTACTGTATGTGTACGAAATTTGTTGGTGGCAATAGCACTTCGAAACAAAAGGTGTCTCAAGAGTTGGTATTGGAAAAAAACTTCGTCTAAAATCTTTGATAAAGATTTCCAGGCTCGTCGGTCTGGCGTACAGGTCTTTCAAACGCTCTCTTCCACTTGATCTTTCTATCTAATTCATGGCCTTCTGCGTGAGCCATCAATAGTCTCGCTTTTATATGCCTTTTGTGCTGGTGCATCCTCATCTATTCTTACAAAATGACGTAGCCAACGTAGTCGCTGCAGCTCGATACTTCTGACAAATCCGATGTCAGAGAATATATGGGTGTGAGTTTGGTCAGGTGGGAGGTGGCCTTGTTTCTAAACTGCTTACTTAGACTATAGTAGCAAAGTTCGCAAATTCCGCAATTGCTCCGAGCCTACTGGACGTCTTCCGTGTTGATACCATCAGCTTGGTCTTCTCGCCATTTACTGCCAGACCCACTTTGGCAGACTCCTCCTCTATCTGTTCAAAGGTGTCTGTTACCGCTCGCAATGTTCGACCCATTATATCGAAGTCATCAGCGTAGACAAGTAACATGCGTTGTTTGGAGTACAGAATGCCATTTCTGTTCAACTTTGCGTCTCGTATGACCTTTTCTAGCTGGATGTTAAAAAATCACACGACAAACTGTCACCTTGTCTGAATACTCGTTCTGTATTAAAGGTTTGCGATAGGTCCTTTCCGACTTTAACTGCTGGCCTTGTGCCAGTTAAAGTTATCCTGCATATCTTTATTAATTTTACAGGAATTCCGAACGCAGACCTGACTTTAACACCTCTGAACGAATAGGGCTGTCGAATGCGGCTTTAAAGTTTTCTGTGAGTCTTTACCAGGATTTGGTACAAAGTGAAAATTTGGTCTCTAGTAGGTATCAAGAGAAAAAATCCAACAGTGGACTTCTGGATGGTATTCCAAAGACCTATATAATGAGTATTAAAAACAGAGGAAGTCAAGAAACTTCTGGTATGTATCAGCACTACCTCTATGAACTATTTATCCTCCGCATTCAGTTTGAAAGCCTTTTGAGAAGACTATAGAAGGACATAATTATTAGGAGAGAAGGCTATAGAACTCCTATCGATGGTATGTATCTGGCATACCTCTAAGAGATATGCCAGATATCTTCAGAAGTCTTCTTGTATGTGTTCTACAAAATAGATGAGAACATCAAATTTGAGAATGGTAAGCTAAACTGAGACTTCTCAATGACTTCGTTTTATTCCCGCAAATAAAACTTGCGTGACTAAATTTTTTTCTCGCCAGAAGTTGCAGTTGAAGCGGAGTTGTTTAAATCAGAGCGAAAATTCTTTTCGGATTAACAAAATCCTTCGCTTAAGACATCCTCATCCCCCATTTTCAATAGGGTTAGTCCTTGGGCCAAACAAGTGAGCTGTGCCAAATTTCATCCAATAGGGATCATAAATGCGACCTGTACTTTGTTTACAATTTAACACCAACAGACGGACAGACGGACGGACGGGCATGCATAAATCGACTCAGAAAGTGATTCTATGCATATTCTCAAAAGGAACCATGGGTCTATCTCGATTATTTTTGCATGTTACAAACATATGCACAAAGACATAATACCCTGTACCACAGTGTGGTGAAGGGTATAAAAATGCTGATCAATGTTTTTTTATAAAAAAAAAAATACTGAGACCCCCAAGGTCAAACCTTTTTTCTGTAGAAAAAAATTATGAGAACATCATGATGATGCCTTTTTCTATAAAAAGCAAGTCTAAAGTCTATCGAAAAAAAAAATTAAAAACTCAGATAGATACTTTTTCTATAGAAAAAAATCAGGTCCAAATTTTAGTCAAGTCGAAATTTTTCTATAGAGGTCGAAGTTTGTCTTCTATAGAACAAAAATATGAGACCCTCAGGTCGAAGTTTGTCTTCTATAGAACAAAAATATGAGACCCTCAGGTCGATACTTTTTTCTATACAAAATCCTAAAAACCTCGCATCGATATTGGTTCTATAGAAAAAATCAGAGAACCCTGGGCGATTTTTCCATTTTTAAATTCTGTGGCCCTCAGTTCTACATTTTTTCTATAGAAACAATTCTGATACCCTCAGATTGATATTTTTTAAGGAAAAAGTCTGAAACCCTCAGGTTAATATTCTGAGACCGTCAGGTTGATATTTTTTCTGAAGAAAAAAATCTAATCTAGTGTGCGAGGCTATAAACCGTTAGGCCCTGAGTTCAAATCCCAGAGGAGGGATAAAAATCTTTCAATGTGGTTTTTGAATATTTCTAAAAATGTCACAATTATGACCTGAACATCACGAAAGTTTACACGGAGAAGGACATTTTACCATGGAGCGGGTCAAATGGACCCAGAGTTTTTAGCGACAATTTTTTTTACAATATACTCAGAGAGTCGTCGACATTAAAATGAATCTCACAAATTTTCTACGGGGAAGACAATCTGACAAAATGAAATCATATGACGTAAATTTTGACTGCGCGAAATATTGCTTAAACTGTGGAATATAGTTCCACAAAAAGTTAGAGTTCAGCGGCATTTGTGTAGAGTATCATAAGGTCTGTCCCCTCTCCGACTATACTGTGATTTCTGTATAGTCGGAGAGGGTGCAGACCATATGATATATAATGATATCTACACATATTTCTGATTGAGAATAAGATTCCCCTCCGAATATTTCGCGACATTAGAAAATAAGTGAAATTTTTTAAATTATGAAATTATTTTTACGAATTTGGGTTTAATACGATCGTAATTGTGAATGGAGACCATAACACTATTATTAAACCTAGATATAGTCTGATGATGACTTATATCGATCGGCTCCAAATCCTAAGTGTATAATCCTTTCCCTATAGACATTGATCTGTCTATCGATATAAGTTTTCGAAAACCAAAATATTCGTGGACCAGTACAGGAATACCGAGGCTTTTTCTTATTAAGTTCCTAAGTTCAAAAAAATACCAAAAATGCTAACCACACCGACACCGACAAAAATAAGGAATGCCGACAATATCCCATCTGCGTTGGTTATTTTATATTCCGTCCGATTCTATTGAATTCACATATTTTCTCAATATTATTTGGCATTTTATTTATTTACTTTTTATTTACACATGTATCAACTTTGTGGCGCCATATGTGTACATATGTAACGTGTAAATAACATTTGACAAATTTGTTTCAAAGTCTAGACAACATTTAGATATGCGAAATTCGGTAGCTATAAATGTCAAGCAAAGAGAATCGCAATTTGTTTTTCATCGAAATTCGGAATGTGTTCCATTGATCAATTACTTGGCGAATTAGTCGTCTGTCTGTTAATCTCCAATTTTACAGATCAATTAAAGCCATTCGATTGTTGGAGTCTAATGAACTTCTCCGGGTTGTTATGAACAAGTTTTACAATAACCTATTGTAAATATTCGGAATGTCAAATATTTTCTACTTAACAAATAAATGGCAAATGACAGGCATAGCAGCAGGAGTCGGTGTGGATATATGCATTTTACCTATTTGATTTGTATAAAAGGGCACTAGGAATTAACATCGATATTCACACAGTTTACAACGTTTGAACAATCACCACAACAACAAAAAACACCAACAGCAACAATGAAATATCTTATTGCATTTGTGGCTCTATTCGCTATTGCCTTGGCAGCTCCTGCTCCCGATCATGACGAACATGCTGAGATTCTAAAATTGGATGCTGAATATAAGGAAGATAGTTATGCCTTTGTGTAAGTTTTAATTCTACTGAATCAATTGTAAAATTTATAAAAAAAAAAAATTTTGAAATTATTTCAGAGCTGAGACCAGTGATGGCTTTTCACGCCACGAAGAAGGCAAACTAAAGGATTTCCCTGGCAATGAACATGACCACGAACCTCACAAGGCCATTGTTGTCCGTGGCACCTATTCCTATAAGGATCCCCATGATGGCAAAGTTTACACTGTAAACTATGTAGCTGATGAAAAGGGTTTCCAACCTGTTGGCGAGCACATTCCAATATTCTAAAATCGAATGTAATTTCAAAATAAATGTGTTCAGCTCTTTAAGGAGTCAATAAAACTTTCCGTATATAACGAGAACAATTTTTGTTTTGACAACTGAAATATTGTACTGTGCCCCTGAGGCGTCTTTTTCTATTGAAAAAAACAGGCAAAAGGAAACGAGATAGACACATGGTTCCTTTTGAGAGTATGCATAGAATCACTTTTTAAATCGATTTATGCATGTCCGTCCGTCTGTCCATGTTAAATTTTAAACAAAGTACATGTAGCATTTATGATCCAAATTGGATGAAATTTGGCATAGGTCACTTATTTGGCCCATATATATTTTCGACCGATTTAATATATATGGTGTACCGAAGTCCCTATATATCTTTCGATTTGCACGAAATTTGGCACAGCGTAATGAATTAGGTCTAGAATGATGTGTGTTAAGTTTCGTGAAAATCGGTGATTTGGATATAGCTCCCATATATATTTTCGTCCGATTTATGGTAAATGGTGTACCAAAGTCCCTATATATCTTTCGATTTGCACGAAATTTGGCAAAGCGTAATGAATTAGGATATAGCTCCCATATATATTTTCGTCCGATTTATGGTAAATGGTGTACCAAAGTCTCTATATATACTTCGATTTACACGAAATTTGGCATAGCGTACTGAATTAAGTCTAGAACGATGTGCGTCAAGTTTCCTGAAAATCGGTTCAGATTTCGATATAGCTCCCATATATATTTTCGTCCGATTTTATGTAAATGGTGTACACAAGTCCTTATATATCTTTCGATTTGCACGAAATTTGGCAAAGCATAATAAATTAGGTCTAGAATGATGTGTGTTAAGTTTCCTGAAAATCGGTCCAGATTTAGATATAACTCCCATATATATTTTCGTCCGACTTAATGTATATGGTGTACCGAAGTCCTTATATATCTTTCGATTTGCACGAAATTTGGCATAGCGTAATAAATTAGATCTAGAATGATGCGTGTTAAGTTTCCTGAAAATCGGTCCAGATTTAGATATAGCTCTATATATATATATACATATATATTCGTCCGATTTAATGTAAATGGTGTACCAAAGTCCCTTAATACCTTTCGATTTGCACGATATTTGGCACAGCGTAATGAATTAGGTCTATAATGATGTGTGTTAAGTTTCGTGAAAATCGGTTCAGATTTAGATATAGCTTCTATATCTGACCAAACGAAAAATTTAGTATCGGTTGCAGAATGACATGTTTATGGATCCAATTTCATTTTACTGGTCCTTTTAAAATGCGACGTCTGTTAGGATTCATCTGTTGAATATACCTAGTGGTGAAGAGAATCATATAGTCGGCCCGTCCGACTTTAATACTTTCCTTACTGTTTTTTTCTATAGAAAAAAAATTCCTCAGGCCCCTGAGGGATGTTTTTTCTATAGAAAAAAATTCTCAGGCCCCTGAGGTATGTTTTTTCTATAGAAAAGAATTCCTCAGGCCCCTGAGGTGTCTTTTTTCTATAGAAAAAAATTCCTCAGGCCCCTGAGGTGTCTTTTTTCTTTAGAAAAAAATTCCCCAGGTCCCTGAGGTGCCTTTTTTCTATAGGAAAAAATTCCTTAGGGCCTCCGAGGTGTCTTTTTTCTATAGAAAAACACATTTACAAAAGTCTTGAAAAGAGGTAATATTTCTCTTCCATTTTTAGATTACCCCCCAACGCAAGCTTTCAAACGCCGATATTTGGACAATTGCGCTTACAAAGTGCACAGAAGTGTATCCCGATCAAATTAAAAATTTCAAACGATAAATAAGCAAATTGAGCTAATTAAAATTGTGTTTTGAATTCGAACATCTGAAATTGGTGAAAATTAACAAGCAAATTGATTTTGCCAAATTATTGTTAAATTAAACAGGTTTCCAATAAAGAAAAAACAAAAAAATGAACACCCAAACCTGGTTTTAGCCTATATACCTACGCAGATTATAACAATTGCAATGCATTTCTCACACCCCCAAAATTCAAATTGTATAAAATGCCTGCATGAAATTGCAGCAATATTCATAAAGTATTTTACTTTCGAACAAATATCATCAACAATGAAATACCTAATTGTCCTGGCTGCATTATGTGCCCTGGCCTTGGCCGCCCCAACATCCGATCACGAGCATCATGCTGAAATTGTTAAATTGGATTCTAGTGTTGATCATGATGGCTATCATTTTGAGTAAGTTTTAATTGGCACAAACAAATCCAACATTAACGTTGTGTATAAATTGATTACAGAGCTGAGACCAGTGACGGCACCTCCTTCCAAGAAGAAGGTAAACTTAAGGACTTCCCCGGCAATGAACATGAGCATGAAGACCATAAAGCCATTGTTGTCCACGGCAGTTATTCGTGGAAGGATGAGCATGACGGCAAAGTTTACACCGTTGAATATGTTGCCGATGAGAAGGGTTTCCAACCCAAGGGTGAACATATCAAATTGAATTGATCTGATAAATAAAACCGGCAATCAAGCATAGTGCATTCAAAATGCAAAGAAATGGTATTTTAATACCCTACACCACACAGCTTGGTAGAGGGATGGATCTATATTTACTTTTGAGGACATGCATAAATTGATCCACATATTGATTGGTACTTGTTATTATAAGAATGGGATGTAATTTGGCATAGCTCATTTATAAGTCCTAAGGAAGAATTTAATTTAAATTGGTGAAAATCGGGTCAGAATTAGATATAGCTCCCGTGTGCTGTTTTGTCAGATCTTATATTCCTAAGTTTGTTCGATTTACACGAAATTTTGAACATCGTTTTAACCATTGTCGAAAATAACGTGGTTCAGCTTTAGATATATTTTTGCACGACATACCAAATTGAGTCTAGACTGAAGTGTTTTAGGTTTTCATGAAATTGGTTCAGAATAAGATCTGACTCCCAAAGAACCTACCTAATTCTCTGTAAATAGAGCACAAATGTCACAAATGATTGGAACCAGTGAGCTGAGCAATATAGTCGGACGGGGCCGACCATATGATACCCTACACAACTACCACGAACACTTAACTTTCTGCGGTTCTATACACTGAGCCTGGGCAATGTTTCCCGATATTTTCACCATTTTGACCGAATATAGGTCACTATCTCCACTTTCTTACCCTGACATATTTTTCAAATCTTATTTTCAAGAGGTGAATATTTAAGCCATAAAGTAAAATTTTGGCCGATCATAATTTAAACAGCCATTCTAAGTATGTACTTGGTGAGATCCCTTTCACCGTGTAAAATGTGTGAGGTTCGGCATATAATAATGGCCTGGTCCCCTAATTATAATCTCAGCATCACCAACAATGATAGGCAGCGTACTTGTCATTATCCGTAATTTCATGTGTGTGCGTGAACACATAGGCACCTTTGGATATACTACTAAATTATCGGAGTCCTTCAAGTAAATATATTCCCCATAGAATACAAATGTTGTAATTTTTTCACACACGCTATGCCAAATTTCGTACAAATCGAAAGGTATATCGGGACTTTGGTGCACTATTCACCTAAAATCGGACGAAAGTATATATAGGAGCTATATCTAAATCCGAACCAATTTTCACGAAATTTAACACACATCGGTTTAGGCTTAATTCATGTTATGCAAAATTTCGTGCAAATCGATTGACCATAACTGGAATTTCTAGGAAATTTTAAAAGCGATCTGCGCTATATTTCCGCCCTCTAGTGTGGTTTTGGGTTACTAAAAAATGTCTGAATACGTAGCACCTGTAAATATTTAAGTGTAGCTCCCACATCTGAGTACATACGACCATATAATTGGTATCAATTTAAAGGTCAACCAAAACTCTTGAAAATCAGAAAATCAGACAAAAATAAAGTATTTGGTCCATTTCATCCCCTAAATATTAACCGATCTTTTCCAAAAACAATAGGGGTCTTCATTGGCCAGAACCCATTCTACATGGCCTGTATCGTGTTTACAAATTATAATGGACAGACGGACGGACACACATATCTAGATCGACTCAGCTAGTCGAGATATGACGATCGGTATACTTAAAGGTGGGTCTAGACCCAAATATTGTAAACCATAATGCATACGAAATAAAGATTAAAGCTAATTTTAATGACGTTTTTTCCTAAAATCTCAAACCCCGTAAAGGCAGGATGTAACATGTATCTTAAATCCCCAATTACTGCAATTTACAAAATACCGAAAATAGGCAGATATAATGATATTGCATAGCACCATATAATGATATTATATGACGGCTATGTCTAAATGTGAACCGATATACAACATTTTCGGACAGGACTTTTAGTTTGTATCTCGATAGTCTCTGAAGGTACTATGAATTTTGTTCTTTGTAGGGTATTAACTGACAATTTCGAGTACAGAATATTCCCCATACTATGATGGAATAAGACCAAAACGCGAGACAAATCAGCTAATCTATATAAAGCAGTAAGGAAAGTTCAAAGGTCGAACAAGGCCGTCTACCCGTGATACCCTTCGCCACTTTAATATTTGAACCACATAGATATTTGAACTAATATAAATCAACCCTTAACATACCATTCTGAAATCTATGAAGATTAACATGTCAGTCGGGCAGACTTTGGTTCTTTGGTATACCACTTATATGAAATACAGCAACATTATGTATTAGAGCTATATGAAAATCTGGACCAATTTAAACAGTATATATGGGAGCTATATCTAATTCTGAAATAATTTCGACGAATCTTACGTCTTAATCGAACAAACATTCACAGTTTAGTGCACCATTTACATAAAATCGCATGAACACATATATGGGAGCTATATCTAAATCTGAAACGATTTTAACGACACTAAGTGATTCAAGACTCAATTTAATACACTCTGCACAATTCCTTCTGTAAATCAGAAGAAATATATGTGCTTTGGTGCACCATTTACATAAAATCGGACGATTTTATATATGGAAGCTAATTTTGAGCCGATTTCAATGAAACTTAACACATGTTATTCAACTCTCAATTCAGTACGCATTGGGAGTTTACTGTATCATTTATATCAAATCGGACGAAAATATAACTGGGAGCTATATTTAAATTTGAACCGATTTTTACAAATATCTATAGCGTTCGTCCTTGGGCCGAATAAATGAGCTGTACCAAAATTTCATTCAATTCTGAGGAATCTAGGTGGGCCCATTCAAAACATGGACCTATATCGAAAATTTTCTACAAAGACCTTTTTTACCTATAAGACACTGTGATATGACATGGCAGACACTTCGGTGGAAAATGGCACATAATCTTTCAAAGTAACCAAAATGGGCTTCAGAACATTTTTTGAAAAAAAATGTTCCTAAAACAATCATTTATTTCTATGATCATAAAATTTCTTAAATTAAACAAATAAATTGAAGGCCTAATTTTGAGAGGAGAATTAGAAAACCGGTTCTACATATATTTTAAAAATGAATACATATTATTTTTAATAGACAGTCCTGTTACTGCTTTTATGATCTTCAAATTTAATTACACTTAATAAAAATGATATATCTATGTTCATAAATATAACAAATACTCTCAAATATATAATAGGCGAATAATATCAATAATCATATCACATTACTTAACTAGTTTGACCAAATTTATTTAAATAAAACACCAACAAATCACAAATTAATATTCATCACGTGCCATCAAAGCGATCGTCCATTGAATTCGAACAATATTCATAGCCATTAATTAGATCAACAGATGGGCAATAAAAACGAAGCAAGAAAAACAACTTAAAAATGTTTTTAGAAACCCCCTAAAAAAGGCAAAGTGTGAGAATTAGTATACTGGAACTAGTTATCACATAATTTTTAAGCATTTAGTTAAGAAAAAATGAATCTTTTTAATAAAATATAATAATTAAAGCAACTGTTAAAAATGAAAGCATAAGTGGCGCTTACTGTGACAAGTTTCGAAAAAACTTAATGACATACACAAATTATTTGATATTATCGATACTATGTTTGTTAAAAATTTATTATCCCGTCTCAAGATAAATAAACAAGGTTACTTGTAAATTTTTCGAAGTAATGAAAAAGGGCAGGATTTCCGGAAAAAGGTAAACAAATGTCGAATATTTTTTCTTTGAGTATACATAGAAAAGTGAAGTAAAGGCAAAAAGTATTGTGGCTTTTATCTCAAAAAATAAAAATCGGAGGTTCTTTTTTTAAAAGTTAATTGCAAAAAATGTAATTGTGTGCTATGATACGCACACAATCAATTTTTTTCTGTAGAAAGTAAGCATAAAGCCAATAATCGGACGTCGCCGGCCATATGACCCGACCTGCACAACTACAACTGAACATTACAATTTTAGATATAGTTCCCAAAACTATAGGTTTTGTAAATGAACCCTGTAAATATGTAAATGAACCCTGTAAATATGTAAGTACAAATCCAACATCCATGTACACACAACAATATAAGTAGTATCATTTTATAGGTCAACCACTCCTCTAGGACCTATTTCCCTGGTCTACGTCCTTCTGAAGTAAATATATGCGGCATCGAATGCTAATTTGATAATTTTTCATGTAAAGTTGGTCCACTTTTCCCGCCATTTATTGATCAATCGCCAGATAAACAAAAATGTAGTATATTTCATCCTGCAAATATTAATCATGCATAACCAAAAACAATAGGTTTGAATCGGAATTACATGCAAAATTTCGTTACGATTGGTCCAAACTGTGCTTTTTTACAAATAATAATGAATTGAAGGATGGAAGACGGACACATTTGTCTAGATCGGTTCAGCTAGTGATATATGAGTCGTTTATTTTGAAAATGGTATAAGTCCAATCTTTCTTATATCGTGATTTGTTTATAGCTTTGATTTGTTAAAAAAAAATATATATATTCAGCGGTATTAATTATACCCTACATCACACTGTGGTACTGCGTATTATGTCTTTGTGCAAAAGGATACGAGATAGATCTATGGTTCCTTTTGGGAATATGTATAGAATCACTTTCTAAGTCGATTTATGCATGTCCGTCCGTCTGTGCATGTAAATTGTACTGAATTGAGTCTATAATGAGGTGTGCTAAGTTTTGTGAAAATCGCATCAATTTTAGTTATAGTTCCCATATATATTTTCGTCCGATTTTATGTAAATGGTGCACTAAAGTCCCTATATATATTTCGATTTGTACGAAATTTTGCACAGCGTACTAAATTAGGTCTGGAGTCATGTCTACCAAGTTTTGTGAAAATCGGTTCAAATTTATTTATAGCTCCCATATATATTTACGTCCGATTTTATGTAAATGGTGCACCAAAGTCCCTGTATATCTTTCGATTTGCAAGGAATTTGGTATTATATTAGCGTACTAAATTAAGATCACAATGATGCGTGCTAAGTTTCGTAAAAATCGGTTCAGATTTAGATATAGCTCCCATATATATTTTCCCCCGTTTTTATGTA